TGCAGTAAGCCAAGATCGTGCCATTGCACTCCAGCCCGGGTGACAGAGCCAGACTCCATCTCAAAAAATAATAATAATAACTATTATTATTATTATACCCTATCTTCCTTTTTCTCTTTCCATTTTTCTTCCCTAGTCTTCTTTCCTTATTCCCTACAAGTAAATTCAGTTAAATTGTGTAATATACAACAGAGTATCAAGAATAAAGTCGTTGATTTCCTGGCTCTTCAAACTTTTTTGAGAATAGCATAAGAAAGGCTGTTTATAAATCCAAGAGATACTTTTACAGAAAACAGATTTTCTGAAGCTGTGTCTTATCTCCTTGTTCGATCTGCATTAACTGCATCAGATGTGTTATCTCATTTTGTTCTGAGTTCCTGTAATATGACTCAGGCTCCACCACTCTTAACAGCTTGGTGTATTGAAAAGTCATTCCAAAGTGGGTGGCATGATGTTGAGGGTGTATGCTATTGAATCACACAGCCACAGTTCAAATCTTACTTTCGGCATGAAATATTTGTGTCATTTTAGACAAGATGCTTCCATGGATAAATCTAGTTTCCCCATTTGACAATAGAAATAATATTAATGACCTCATAAGATTGTTCTAAGGATTAAATAAGCTAACATTATAAACAGTTTAGAGCAATGCCAGCATACAGTAAGCACTCAAAAACTGTTGGTTATAATCATTAGCCCTATAGTTGGTTTGTGGTGCCCTTGATTTGCTAGTTGCAGTGGACACTATCAGTGCTCTACTCAGATCCCCTGGAGTCCCTCTCACCTCCTAGTTTTCATGCGCTTTACTTCTAAGGACTTCAAGTTCAAAATTACCTTCAGGTGACTGGAGTTTCCCATAGGATTAAAGAGACACAAGTGCCAGGTAAACTTGAGTGTAAACTGGGTAGCCCAAAGCCAATGGTTGACAGGTACAGAAATCCTTTGCCTCAAGGCAGGACAGACTCTGCGATGCAACTTGAGCTTCCTGTGGGATGATGCTGAGGCTGGACTTCACCTAAAAATCACATCCTTGCCTAGCCCCTCTCCCTACCTTCTCCTGCCTCCCTTACTCCCTTACAGATTTCTCCTGAGAGCACTCCATAAGCCGCTTGCACACAAATCTACATAGCAGAATTCGCTTCTGGAAAACCTAGTCTGAGACACTATGAAGTTTGTATTACCAAAGCTATTGCTATTTAATAAAGTTCATTTCAGGGGAAATATAATAAGTCTGCAAGGCGAGCATTAAAGTAAAGGATTTTGGTTCATTTGATTTACAAGCTATGATCTTCCCAACAATTTTTATCACAGTCATTGTGATTTACATACTGGTAAAGAAAAAAGTCCAAGCTAAAGAAAGAAACCCAAGATTAAGCATCTTGGTCAGATAGTATAACTTTCTGTTGGCTTTTCTCCTTTTATCTCCTCTGAATAGCCCTCCTTTTATTATGAATTTAAGTACAACCTAAATCAGTTCAGGGTACCTTAACTCTAGCCCAGTAGGTCTGCATGGCAATTAAATTCTGCAAGCATTTTTTTTATAGATAGATGATAGATAGAGATAGATAGATAGATAGATAGATAGATAGATAGATAGATAGACAGACAGACAGACAGACAGACAGACAGACAGACAGACAGATAGATAGATAGATAGATAGATAGATAGATAGACAGACAGACAGACAGACAGACAGACAGTTAAAATTATTTATTATAAGGAACTGGCTCATATGAGTATGGGGGCTGAGAAGTTCAGACCTAGGAGAGCTGATGGTATAATTTGAGTCTGAGTCCAAAGGCCTGAGAACTGGGAGAGGTGATGCAATAAGTTCCAATCCATGTCTGGCAGTCAGTAGCAAGGGAAAACTGATGTCCCAACCTGAAGACAGAGAGAGAAAATTCATTCTTACTCAGCTCAGCTGTTTACTCTATTCAGACCTTCAGCAGATTAGACAAGGCCCATCCGTATTGGGGAGGGCAACCTGCTTTACTCAGTCTACTGATTCAAATATTAATCTCATACAGAAACACCCTCACAGAAACATCCAGAAATAATGTTTAACAAAATATCTGGGCTGCTAGTCATCCAGTTAAGTTGACACAAATACTTAACTGTCTCAGGAATTTATATAAAGCTGGCTATAGCCCCCGTTCCCACACTTTTGTGAATTGTATAGCTCATCCCGGCTCTGTATCCCTGCTTCTGTTGAACTCTCCTCTCTCCTTGAATCTCACCTCTTATGGCCATTCCTTACTCTTTTCTTTGCCAGGCCAGAGAGAACTTAGTCCTTTTTCCTTGATATCTTCCAAAACCATCAACACAAGAAATTTAGGTGGGTAACAGATTTTATTACAACAGTAAGCTTTGGTGCTAGCTATTACAATAGTTTTCATCATGCTATAGAGGTACAAATTGATGTTTTGGGGGGAGTCTAAAGGAAGAAGTAATTAATTATGAGTAAGATAGAAATTGAAGCAATGGTTTCACAGAAAAGGTGAACATTTGTGCTTGCCTTTGAAATGTGAAAAGGACTTTTCACATTGGCAAATATAGGTCAACTATGTTTGGCTGTTTACCATGAGCCCCAAAGCCACCTTCAGACTGTACTAATCAGTTTCAGAAGGAAATGGAAACCAAATATTGTTTTAGACTGAAAAAGATTACAAAGAATAAACTTATCTGAAAAGTTAATAAAGTGGAGTTTGGGAGACAGTGGATTTATTGTTTGTTTGCCTGTTTATTTGTTTGAATAGGTAGGTTGTCCTTTGAGATAAAAAAGTAGAAGAGGGAAAAAGTGTCAAAACTGTACTGAATCAATATTTTAGGCCTGACACCCAAATGTGTTTCACAGTCCACATACTCACTAAAGTGTGACATTGATTAAGGTGGGACTGGTCTTTGGGGACTCGTAGAGGTGCTCCATACCCAGAAGGCACATGGCAAGCCTGATAATTACCTCCAGGCATAAATCATCAGCTGG